TTTCAACAATGAAAATTAAATTTATTCTAAATAAATTTCTGTTGTTTTTTAATATTAATAAAGAAAACGTACAGAGTCTCTTGTTATACGAAGTTTTTTTTTGTTTTATAACAAAATTTAAATTTATTGAAAAAATATTTAAAAATTATCCAAAAGTATATAAGAAAATATATAAATACAAAGCACATAATCGCAAATATATTTCAAATTTTCTACCATTACAGAGTACAGGTTCAATTAAATAAATTTTTTAAATACTTTATAAAATCTAAGAGCCCAGTACATAATATGAAAAATATTTTTTTTTCCTTACGAACGTTATAAAACGATAAAAAATTAATTCAAGTTAAATTAATAAATTATTTAAATTCAATTAGCTCTAAAAAAAAAAATTCATTGGAATTTTTTTTTCTAGTCCAATAGAACAGTTACTATAAATATGTTAGTCAGTATATAAACCCAATATTTACATACAAAAATATACTATATAAGTTGGATTCACCGGCGTAAGTTACAAAGTTTAATTAAACATTTTGTACTTGTTTTTTTAATTTTGCCTTTTTGCTTCAAGTGTACGTACTAGTTAATTTTTGATTTTTAATATGCATAGATTGAATTATTACTGCGAGTTTACCCAAAAAAAAAACAAAAAATATCTAGTATTATTACATAATTTTTTATGCAAATTTTAATACTTAGAAAAAAATTTAAATAACTTAATATATATGACATATGTACTCGTATATATAAGGTACATATTTATAATTTATGTATGCTTTTATATAATATGAGAATATAGAGGAGGGTAAATTATATTATAAGTAGTCAGTTAGTCACCTTATTTTTCTATATATCTTTTGCATGCTGTGATTTACTTATTATTCGCGAAGAAAAACGAGCCTGAAAATCGATTGAGAAATTAAAAAATTTTTTTTTTATATATTTTCAATCAGAAATAATCGCTATTTCGTACAAATAATTTGCTTGATTTGAATTTAAATGAATTCAAGATAATTAGAAAAGATAATTTAGACATCTTATTGCTAAATACTTTTTTATTTTTTTGCATTGCGAATTTTTGATAATGTAGGATAGTTTTGTTCATAGAGATTCGTATTTATTAATATAAGTTTTATAGATTTTAACAAATAGATTTTAAAAATAATATGAAGAATATTTTATATTTTACGAAAATTTTTTAATGTGAAACCAAGTACTTTAATTTCTAAATTTTCGTACAGTATTTTGTAAAATTATGTCCAACAAAATTTTCAAATTTTTAGTAAATTTTTGAAATTTACTTATTTACCAAATTTGCACTGCTTACTATAATGATAACTGAATTGTTTCGCTAACATTCAATTTCTAATAGATTTACGGCAGCACCAAGTAGTTTACAGAGTATAATAAAGTAAAAAGTACTTTAAAATTAAATTAAATTCTCTTTTCTAATTAAATTATTTAAAAATTTAAAATAATAATAACAAATTATTTCAGCAAATATTTTATGCATGTATTCAAAATAAAAATGATCAATTTTAATCAGCCATACTTAGTCAAGTAAAAATTTTTTAATTTTTGAACAATGGTCGAATAATTTATATGAATTACAAGCAGTGTTGTTATATTTTCAACTTGTTTTTCAGTAGCATTTTGTCTCACAACCACAATAATGTAGTACCGATGGCTTTAGCGTAGTAATTTGGGGCTTTCATTAACACCAAAAAAAAATTGATTTCAAATCCAATTTCGTTTATGAAAAAAATTATATTTATTCGCAATTTTTTTTAATTTAAGAACAAGAAGCTTGGAACAGAATTTTGTAATGAATTAACAGAAGAAAAAAAGAATAAATAATAAGAATATAAAGGGGTAATAAGAATGTAAAGGGGTGGAACGAAATATTTTTATTTTTATTATATATTATTAATTTATATTTATTTTTATAGCTTTATAAAATAAAATAATTCACTTCATATTAAAAATGACAACTGTGAGTTTTCTGTAATATGAGATTTCAATATTATAGACGTTTCTTTCACCGTAACGTTTTTCAAACAAGGTTCTAAATTTAATTTTTTTTTCATTGCACAAGTAGTTTTTGTAGTTTTTTTTTCAAATAACGACATTTTCTATAGTGTAAATGCAAAAAAATAGTAAAAATGGCTTTGCAGTAGCATGGTAGTATAGAATGCCAAAATGTAGTAAAAAACTACAATTATAGTAAAATTAACGACACTGACCGCAAGTAGATAGTAAATATTGTAAATGACGATTGCGGAATTTCGTAGTATAGTGCAGTTTTTTTACTGCAATTTCAATACAAGAGTATATTTGTATAAATGATTTCTTAATTATTTTATTAATATAGCTCATAATTCTATATATGTGTTTAAAATTCATACAATATTTTCCAATTATTCAAATCACAATTTTTAAATTGTTAACGATAATACTTATTATTAGGCTTACCATATATTTAGATAATTGCAGATCTATATATTATTCACTTAAATAAAAATTTTAATTAATGCGGTAATACAAATTAAGGATTGAATAATATTCTTTCAATGTCTTATTATTGTTTACACTAAAGCATTTATATTTGATAAATTAAAATTAAATTTTATTTATTAATTTTTATAGATAACTTTTTATTTAATGTTTATAATAATTACAAATACTCGGTTTAGGTAATACATACATTAAAAACTAAATACTATCAGTCTACAATTTGTGATAATATTGATTTTATTATTTTTTTTTTTATATTCTTTTCTATATATATTTTTTTTTTTTTGTTTTTTTTTTGATACATTTACGTAATACAAGTATAATTAGATATTTTTTTTTATATTTTGTTTTTGTATATATAATAATAATTGATTCCATAAATTTTACTTTGAAACGCATTAAACTAGAACCATTGTCAGCTTCAGCTTAATCATTAGAATTTATATTACTTTATGTTAAGAGAAAAGAAACACCAAAGTAGTTCATATTTTAATATTGCAATTTTTATGTACTCGTTTATTAAAAATGCTGTTTACTGACTAATGATGCTGGTGTATTGTGTTTTAAAAGTTTTATCTTTAGTGTAATTAATTTTTGTTTTCTTTTTTTTTCAATAACTTTTTAATTTTACTACACAATTTTTTTTATATAATATTTTCATTTTTATTTTTTTGTTTTTTTGCTCTAACACTTGGATTTATAAAATTGTATAATATTTTTTAATTGTTTTGATGTTTTATTTAAATTTAAATATTTATAACAAAAGTGTTACAGTTTATTTTGCACGTGTATATGGGATTGAGCGTATATGCATAGCACTTATTTTGTGCTTGCTCACATCTTCTTTTATACAAATAAATTTTATTGTTATTAGAGATGGGGTGTGAGAATTGCATACAAGAAGCGTTGTAAACAAGCTGAATGCATACACGTGTAAACAGACCCAGTTGAAAATAAGAATTTTTGTATGTAAAAAAACAAAAATAAAGAAATAAATTAAAAAAGAAAAATAAATAGGTGGTGTATAAATTTTTATTTCTTTTTATTTCTTATTTAAAATTGAAATTGATTTGTGTAAATATCTTAGAATATATAAAAAGTTTAATGAAACACGCTTCTGAATTTTGTATAGGAATTAAAAAAAAATATAAAAAAAAATCATAATAAATTCGTTTCTTGGTTTTGGTGTATTTTTCTTTTTATAAGAATTTAATTATTTTTTTTTTATTTTTTGCTTCTATGCTATATTTTAGGTATAAATTTCGCACAAAATTTTTATTTAAAAAATGAAAATTTTTTTTTTTTGTTTTGATTTTTAAGTACAACCAAATCTTAAATATTTCAATTATAAAATGGCTCTGAGCGAATATTTTAATAAAAATTTTTAGATTTTACTTTTATCCATTTTAATATTAGTATACAACTTGAGTATATTATATAATATATATTTATATATATACATGCTTTTAATGAATATTTTTGTTGCCCGAAACTAAATAGAGACATTATTTTATCATTAAATATAAAATTTGATTTTTATACAAAACTGTACATACCATATAATTATCCATTTGCATAAATTAAGGGATATTTTTGACGTATGGTGAACGCCTTAAATGTTATCACTTTTAATATTAAATTCTTTGATTTTTCTATTTTTAATTATTTAAGCTAGTATAATTATGAATATAAAATGTAAATTCACATTAGAATTTTAAAATAAATATTTTTTTTTAGAAATTGAATTTTGGTTGTACTTATTACATAAAATAATAAATGTATGTGTATATATTTTGTGTAAAGTTTGTCTTTTTAAATTTATTTAAATTGGGTTTTTAAAATTTTATTGTTATTTTTCATTAAAACATATATGGTATAATAATAATCATTATGATTTTGTATATTAAAAATTTACAGTCTTTTTGGCAACGTCTTTTTGATAACATTTTTCTTTTTCTTTTTGTTTCTTGGTTATTTTAATGTTATATGAAATTTTATTAAAAATTTTGAAATTTCCAAATGGATATAGTATTAAAAATTATTTTTTATTATATGTATAATATTTAAAAATTGAAACATTAGATGTAATTAATTGTAAACTAATGTATGTGTATAATATTGAGTCTTATTGGGGATTGAGAAATATGATTTTATTGAAAATATTAAAGAAATTATAGTGTTAACATTTTAAATAAAAGCATATAAAGAATACATTCGTATTGTATTTTTAATGTGTGATTTACGAAAAAATTTTAATGTTTAAAGGAAGAAATTAAATAAAAAATTTTAATTTTATTTGGAAGATGGGAATATGTTGCAAATTCAGACAACAAAGAATCCAATTAATTTGTAAAAAGTAATAAAATTTTTTAATAGTTATCATTAATTATATTTGATGTTTATTTTTCATGTAGTAAAATTGATACATTAATGTTACGACGAAGTTATTATATTTTTGTTTCTTTTTTTTTAAGTTATTTCAAAAATTTTCTAAGCAGAGAATTATTTTTTCTGCATACATTATAGATTATTATAAATATTAGCCAACTTTTCTTATATAATTACTCGTACATATATGTTGTTATCTCTGCAAAGAATATTGAAAATTTTATACCATTTTATAAATTTAACATGAACTTTATAGGTACATACTATTTTTGATGGGGGTGTATTTATTTAAGCATTCTACTTTATGTCAATTATATTATGTAAAATGGTGTAATCTGTTAAAATTTTTTTTTTATTATTAACTTTATTTTTTTGTTATTTTATACATTTTATATTATTATTATTTTTTTTGTTCTTTTTTTCTTTGGACATTCTCTAAAAAATATTTCCATTTTGAATAAAACTGAATTTGATATTTTATTTTTAAATATACAATTACTCTTATCAAGTACTATCACAAATAATTTATAATATTCTTTAATTGGTATTAATAATTAATAAGGCAGACTCCAATCGATTAAAAATTTTTAACAAAGTACAAAAATAAAAAAAAATATTAAAAATAATGTTTCTCTTTTAAGTTAATTTTAATAAAAAAAAAAAAATTTACAATAAAACTTCAAAATCAAAATATTTCGAGTATCGAATTGAAAAGTTTCTCAATCTTTTGAAACAAAATTCTACTTATTTTACATTTGACATTTCAATGACAAATTTAAAAGCCATTATAAAAATAGAATGTAAACAAAATTTTTCAATAATTTTATTACTAATAATGAAATTTATATAAAAAAAATGTATTTTACATGAGCAAATATTTATTTGGGGTTTTTTCTTTAATATTTTCGCCTAACACACTGGACAAAGGCATTAAATTATACAATATACTTTAATTTTTATTTTTAATGTATACCCATAATAAGTATAAAATTTTGAACAAAATAAGTTGGGAATTTTTTGCCAATTAATTTTGTTTTTAAATTTTTTATACATCATTTTTAGTGTCAATAAAAAATTCGAATAAGTAAAAGATTTTTGTGTTTAATTAAATTTTCAATTTTAAAATAATTCTATATGTTTAAGTGTTATAGCTTATGGAAGTATGTGCATAGGTGTTAAAAATTTTTTAATGGTAAATTAAATTTAACAATTTAAATCTTGCCTATTTTTAATTAAATTAATTAACACTAATAATTAAAAAATAAATTGTATTAAGTTTTACTAAATTTTTATTTCATTTATTTTATAGGCCTTATACTCATGAATACCAAATTATACATATATTGTTTATAAGAAATTGATTCAGAAATAGTTTTTAATTTAAGTGTAAAAATGTTAAATTTAGTATTCAACTGCATTTTTATCCACTAATTTATGAATGAATTTATGTATTACAATTTGAATTTATCAATCCAATAGGTTTAATAACAAATTACATAGGTACTTTTGAATTTATATTGCAAATATTTTGGAAATGAGATTAATTAAAATAAATACAAATAGTGAACTCATGTGAACATATTATTTTATTGATTCGCAATGTAAAGAAGGACGCTACATACAAAAAAAGAGTGTTTTATAAAATTCTTTACATATTTTTACTTTGATCTGATTGTTAAATTTATACAAAAACAAATGTACACATTAGCTACAAAATTATATTTATGTATAATGTAATAATGTGTAAGATCTATTGTTTTTTATTAAAATAATTTTTTAATTCATAATTTGTATTAATTATAGGATATTTGTTTTTGTTTGACTACCAATTATATTAAAGTCGATATTGCTTTGCACATATTTATATTACAATTATCTACTTGTTTTAAATAATGCATAAATTTTATAAATTTTATGAAAGGTTAAATTTTGATTATTTTTCTACAAAATTTTGTTAATTTTAAGTAGTGCACTGATTCTAGTTAATTTATATTGTAATTAGAGTATTATTCAAATGGGGGCCAAATATGTCTTTTATCCCGATTATTTTATTATTTATAAAAAAGAAATCTCCATATTTTAATCTCAGAATATATAGATAATATAAAATAAACATTTCTTAATAAGAGTTCTATATGTATATGTACGTATATGAAACAAAATATAAAATAAAAAAAAAAATTGAAAATTTAGTAAAAAATTAGTTCGTGAAAGATTATTATACCTGTAACACATATATTTACAGCAAGAGTGTGCAATAATTATTAATTATTGAAACTCTTAAAATTCTTAAAGTCATTTTCTTAAAAAAAATATATTCATATGCAACATAATATTTTGTTAATAAATTTATAGAAATTAAAACTAAACTCATACGCTTTTCTATTTTGTTTTGCTATTATACTTCATATGTTATTATTATTATTATGTTCTTTATTATTATAAAATACTAACGGTGCTGTTTTACATCCTTGTATTTATTGCATTTTGTGTTGGATGATAACCATTTGCAGCTGTTCCATTTGGTATGTCAACAATTACTGAATTTGATATAGATAATCGTCTTTCTAATTCTGATTGATCCATATGAATATGGCCATTTGGTGTTGTTACTGCCCCAGAGTCCTAAAATTTCGAAAATTCAAAAAATTGCAATTAGTATCCAAAGTTTTTAATTAATAAAAAAAGAAAATGCAAAGCGCATTTTGAATATAAATGGTTCTTACCATTGTCTGCTAAAATAAATTTTAATTCATTTTAGTGATTTATTTTCACTAGTGGGGTTTTGTTTTTTTTTTTATTTTGAAAATATTGTACATATATTTATTACCTGATACAAAACAGCAGCATCTAGAGCCATCAATTCTTTTTTAGATAATTGTTCTACAATAGCAGCGGCATAGCAATCTCCAAGCATATTATTTGTAGTCCGAATTCGATCACTAAAAATTATACCATAATGTTTCAATTTATTGAATACATAAAACTATTTTAATTTAACATAAATTATCAAAATGTTTCGAAGCGCTTATCGATCTGTTTCTATAATTAAAACTGAATTAGAATAAATTAATGTACATTTTGTTATTATACCTATTCATATATAAAATATCTTCGAAACATTGAAATACAAATATATTTTAAGAATTTCAACTTACACAAACCAGTCAATAGCGAATAATAATGTTACATCTTGTACTGGCGCATCGATTGCTGAAAGTGAAACTAGCAGTAATACCAAAGCTGCACTCGGAACACTAGCTGAACTCATTGATGCTGCTGTTGATGTTAGTAAAACAGTGACAATTTCACCAAATCCAATAGCCATACCACTCATTTGTGCAATAAAAAGAGATGCTACTGCAATAAATAATGCAGTCCCATCCATATTGACATTACAACCAATTGGTAAAACAAATCTGGTTATCCTTTGATCAATTTTCAATTTCTCATTCATACAACGGAATGTTATTGGTAATGCAGCAGCACTGTATTTTGTCATCACATTTAGTATCACAGATGAGGATAATTTATCACATTGGTTTTGAAATTTGATGTTTTGGCAGGAAGTGTTTTATTGTTTTTTTTATTATTATTATTTTTGGGTCACATATTTGGATAATTTTTCATTTGGTGTTTTTTTTTTTGATTTTTAATAATAAAATTGTTTTTTTGTTTTTGTCAAAAATTTTGGTTTTGATTTTTTTTAGAGGGTGTTTGGTAATTATTTTTTTGTGTAAAATCATGAAAAAATATATTACGTAAACTAAAAATTGAAATTAATTAAAAAAAAATTGTAAAAAATCTTACGTTGATGCTGTAGCAAAAGCTGTCAGCATTGGCTGTATGAGTCCACAATAGAATTTAAAAGGATTACGGCCCAGGAATAGAAAGTATATCAGTTGCATTACAAACATTTGATACAGGAATACACCAATTGCAACAGTTATAATGAACCACATTAGCTGTGACATTACTAAAGCTAAATCAACAACACCTAATATTTTTCCAGCTATAACTGAGCTAATACCAAGTGGGGTTAACCACATTACACACGTAACCATCTTCATCACAACCTCAAATACAGCCGAAAAGAAATCAATCACAACTTGTCCTTTTGTACCAATTGTACCGAGAAATGTGCCAAATACCAAACAGAAAAATACAATGCCAAGTGTATTTGTTCCACTACGATATTGTACTACACGAACTAACTCAACTTCCACTTCATCGGATGTAATGGCGGATGAAGAACCAACTTGTGCATCCAAACTTGTTGACGTCTCATTTGTAGTATCATTGAAATTCGTTAATATTGTTGGTTTCGGTACATAAACTGTGTGTGCTTGTTGAAATGCTGCTTGGAATAGATTGTCAGGAAAAACATTTCTGAAACAATGAATTTCATCGATTTAATTAATTTTTTAATGTACTTTCAAACATGAATATTACACAGCGATTTTACTTATGAGTTTAATTTGCAATTAACGAATTTTAATAGTGTGATTTGCTTTTATGACGGTACAATGTACTAATTTTGTTAAACTGTCAAAATATTTAATATTATTTGTCAAATCATTTTAATAAAATTCTCGAAATTTTTGCGGTAAAGTGCATAATATGTAGAATGTACATAACTACATACGTCATAATTTCTTGTTATTTTGCTAATTTTTTTCGATATACATTCATACATATTCCAAGCCAATTGTGGACGTATGTATGTGTAAAAAATGAATGAATATTACCGATATTGATTTGATAAGAATTAAATTTCACCATAAAAATCTTGCTTAACGGTATGTGCTGGCGTCATTTAAAATTTTCGCGATATGAAAAAATTTAAAAAATATTTCGAATTTTGAAAATTTATTGCGCCATCTTAAAATAAGAAGATTTGAAAATACGATCTTTTATTGTGAATTTTTATAGCAGTGAAAATGAAGAATTATTGTGAACATTCTAAAAGTTAGGGTTTTGGCGATTTCTAATAGCGAAAATCAAAATTTTATCTAAGAAATAGAGTTTTTGAAATCATAAATAAGATACAAACCATTTATATATTACTTTCAATCGTCACTATTCTAGTGGTGAAAACCCAAAGCTCAAAACAATTTTTATATAACCAGGTTTTGGTACAAACTAAATTGAGCAACTTTTTTTATATGTGGTTATATCTAAAAGTAATTTTATTTTCGCCAATTTTGTTTTGGTTTAGAAACAAATTAAGATACTTTCGCCGGTGAACATGTTTAACATATTGTTAAAACCGTTTTTTTTTAAATCATGCAGGCATAATTTATGTAAATTCTGTTATTAACCTGTTAAGAAATTATGTCTTATATATGCGCTAATTTGAAAAGCTCATTTTTAGTTAATGTCGTATATGTGCGTCATGCCGAAAAAGAAAATTGTATTTGCTATGAAATTTAAAGTTAAGCAAAAACCGAAAATTTCCCTGTTAATAAAATTTTGTAAATACGCGCCTTCCTTTGAATTTTTAGCACAGTAAATCGAGCTGTCTAAGAAAAACTAATCGCTTAACAGGTGAAAGAGCGAAAACAAAAATAATTAAGCAATTTTTTTTACTTTTCTAAAATATTAAAAAAGAAAAAGTTCATGCAAATACTAAATAACAATTAAATGGTTTTTGACTTTGTAATATGAATGTTAAAATTAAAAACTATATTAATTACTTAATATATGAATTAAAATTTTATATTAAATTGCTAAATGAAAAACAAAATAGTTAACTTACCTTCCAAGATCTAATAAACTGTCTAATAAATTCACAGCCCTATTATCAGCAGTCCGATCTAATGTATTATGGAGTCCAGGATCACCAGGATGTATAAGCATTGCTAAACATACACCAAGGCATGCATTAAAAAATGATGTTGCAGCAAAATATATTAAAGTTCTTAAAGCAATTTTTCCATTCATTTTTGCATTCAAACTAGCTGATCCAGCTATTAAACTTGATATAACCAACGGAAGTATCATTAATTTTAATATTCTCATAAAAAGTTCACCAGGATAAGAAATTAACATGATTGAATCTTCACTTAAATTGAATTGACGTAAACTGAAACCTATTGGAATAGTTAAAATTAAAGAGGAAAAAATTAAATTAACGTAATAGGTATAAGGTATTTGTAAATGATAAGATTTAAAATATGGATTGATTTGGAAATATTGTGCATTCATTCACGGAGAGCTTGTGAGGTATTGGTAATATATTGGTAGAGGTTCGCGTATATAATCAATTTTTTTGTGGTTATGTCGCTGAACTTAGGCAATTTAATATTTGAATCGCTTTCCGTACAGTGCGGAGTCGTAAAATGTCAATCAAAATGGACCAACATGAACATCATAATTCAATTGAATTTATTTTATTTCGAGATTTTCATAATAATTATATACATATTCTTGCCCAGCGTAAAATTCTGTATTAATAGACATATCAGGGCGTCCGTCCGTACAATCGTACGATAACTTGAAAACGAATAAAACTAACTACAACAAATGGTATTTTTCTGCAAGGTACAAACCCAATTATAATTGGACTGATTCGGACAACTGGTACGAATAGCTGCCGTAGAGATTATTTGGAATATCTTAGAAAATAATGAAAATATTATTATGAAATTTTGTAAACGTGTGTCCAATTAGATTTTACACATTTTCTGAAAATTTTTGATGGAATGGTTGTACGAGTTCCGGTGACTATCATACAATTCCAAAAGCTAATTTTAAATAATTGGAAAAATAAGAAAGCTAAATTCATGAAATTTGACAGTAATATGCCCAATTATAGGTCAGCCACATTCGTGAAGCTTTTATAGAATGGTTTGACAGGTTCGGAGAGCCGCCATACAATTTTGGAAACTAATTCTAAAACAAAATTTTTATATTGTAAAGGTATAAAGGGAGGGTACTTAGTCGGTTCAGATCGACCGAAACGTTTCAATTTTTTTACTTTAATGTTGCAACACGGTGTGCTGTCATTCAATCCTAAATTTTAAAAATTAGCTTAATTTTATTGCATATATGTGAATTCACAATTGAAACATTAAATATGTACTAAATTCTGATTGTTATTCTAAGTGCTTAAATACGAGTACTATTAAAGTTATCACTTAATAATTAATGTAGGTAAATTTTTAAATGAAAAAATCATTTTGCAAGAGTTTCTCTTTTTTTTCCTATTTCAAAATTGTTCCGACCATGAAATTATTTTTTTCTCAAAATTGTGGGATTTTATTATTAGCATATGTGAAAAATAAAAAATAATTCCAAACTTTTTACATTATTTCCGTATATTTTTATGATTTGTTTGTTTTTAAGAAGAAAATTTATGAATTTTAATAACTAATACACACAAATTTAATTGAAAATGTGCCAAGAATGTGAAAAATGACAACAATTTTATTATCATAGTAGATTTTGTTAAATATTTCAATAGAAACGATAATGTACATACATACTCGTATATGAACTAGCCATTTTAAATGGAAGATTGTTAATAAATGTTAATAAAATTTTTTTTTCCGATTTTCCAATTCCAAACAAAAATTTATTTGTAGAGCAACTGAGAAATTTATTTAATGTTTAAACTCATAATCTATAAATTTTTCATATACACATTAAAAGTGTAGGCAGTTTTATTATCTATTTGCCAACATAGTATAACATTGGCTAGAATTTAGGCGAAAGATTTCCCAATTGTTACCATAAATTGGGAGAAATGTGGCAAATGTAGTTTCATTCAAGATAATAAGGGATATGAAAAGTATTTCTTTTCAAGGATGCGTCATATCAAAAAAATAAAAACAATTTTTACAAGGTTTCCGTAAATAGTTTCGTTGAATAATTTTTTGATTAATTAATTTTCACACACTATTTAAACAATTTTATTTCTACATTTTTCGTTAATTACTTGCTTTATAAAATTTTGTAATAAAAATTTTGCTCTAAGGTACACAATTTATTGCGAGTACAATTTTATAAACGATGCTTTTGTACGTGTTACTTTCAAAAAAAAAATGACAATAAGGGTCTAATCGTCTATCTTTCTGTTTCACTCGGAAAGTGAGAAGAAAGTGAGTAACTTTCTAATATTTGTATAATGTAATTTTTGAGTGAAAAGAATTATTTGGTATTGTGCACGTTATCTCGTTCTTTTTTTTAAAGTGCATACAAAATTTATTCACCTTGTTAAATTAAAATTTTTTTCAATTATCATTGACAATATTTCCGCCGCGTTCTACAATTTTTGTACATCGTTTGGCAATACGGAATTTTTGATAATTTGATTACCGCTTACATACTTAAATCATCGTATATCAAACATTGAAACGCAACCGATCTAAGGTTTACTTAGATTGTAAAAAGAAACACTAAAGGTACATACACACATATACTTCAGAGAATTATTTATGAAAATGTTTAAAATTTCCAGTTCTTTCCCACCTCTCCGTAATTCTTTAAAATTATAAAATGATTTATAATTCCGCATAAAATCCTTGAATTTTATTTTATTGAATTTTTTATACTTTTTTTTTGTTTTTGCTTTAATCTTGTTTTAAATAAAAATATTTAAATGTATTCATCGAAATTTTTAAAAGGGTTTTTGTCATTGTTATTTTTTCTTGTTATTATCCATGGGACAATGAACAATGTTAAGAAATCTCAGATTTATTTTGTATTGGATAAGCACCAAAGACCAGATTTTCGGAAAGGTAGCCTTAAAATTTAATTCGTCGATAACTGCTCTGTATGGATGTCAATGAAATTTTCCCTACTTAAAAAATGTGATTTGTATTATTTCTCAAAAATTCATTTTAAGTTTGCCTAACGTTATAAAAAATTTTATAAAACAATTATTTTTTACACCTTAGCGAAATTTCATTCTGAAAAGCCTTTGTCCAAAACAAGCACTGAATCTTATATGGCTAAACGTTTTTTAATCATTCTAATATTTAGAGGCAGGTATGCAAAGCAATTGACCAAAGAAGCCAAAATTTTATAACTGATCAATTGCATTTTTGACAAATGTGTGTGTACACTGTGCATATAATTCAACTGTCAATATTATAATTTAACTGTCATATAATAGTATAAATGTGCATTCTCATTGTATTTTTTCACAAGGGCACCGAATTGCGTTTCACTCTTATACCCAAAAGTCGTTAAGGATTCTAAGAATTTTATTATATGTATAAAATCATCATTATTATTATTGTGTCCTTGCACAATAAAATACAAAATAATAAAATACAATTTCTACAATACAAAAAAAAAGAAAAAAATTAATTGCATCGACATTATGGTATCACAACGGTAGTATATGTGTATATGTTTATGTATACAGACAGAAAATATACCCAACTATGAGTTATTTATGTATTAAGTGGAACGAAATGCAGGACGTTTAAGGAAAAAACATGATCTATTAAAAAAAGTATGTAAAATTTAAACAGAAAAAATTTTTTCCATATTTTTTTTTTTTATAAAATAAATGAAAGTAAAGTGTGTAGGCGTTGGAAAGAAAACGAAAGAAAAAAAATTGTATTTTTTTTTTGGTTTGTTTTTGTTTTTTCGTTTGTTCCAGTAATGGTGTGTCGAAATCCTTAACAATGAACTCATTTATTTCTACATAACCTTAAATATTTCAGAAATAAATAAATGTTCTGATTTTATATTTTGGTCAGCAGGTATGTAAATGCATATATGTATAAGTACGTGTCGTATATTTTTACAGAGTGTGTCAAAATGTGACGAATGAATTTAAAACAATATTTGTAGTGAACAAAAACGTGGCTTTATGCATGGAATTTACAATAGTTCTAAAGACGTTGGAAATCAAGTGAAAACAGCTTTAAAAAGATGACTGAACGAAAATTGTTTGTGTACTCAAATTAAAAGAAAATAATATTCTTCTTCTACATTAATTGTAAAATTATGCATTAAATCGGGCTCAAAATCTTAAAAAAAATTAAATTTGATATTAAAAATAATTTCATGTATTAAAATTAGCTTAAAAGTAGTTTTAAGAATTTAAAGGAAAGTTTTATAGTAGTCGGAAACATAAACAGTGATAGCGATTCAAACAAAGGGAGAAGTAAAGAAAGTAGTCAGGGACACAAAATTTAAGTTTTACCAAAATTTCTAGCAATAGATGGATAAAGCGATAACGCTAACAAATTATGTAAGTAGGTCAATTGAAAATGTCGGTGGTCCAAGTTTCCTTATACTCAAGTAGTCTTACTTATATTAAGGATCCAGTCATTAAGATCAATTTTTCAGGTCGTGTTCGCAGTTTTTTAAAATTTTCTCGAAAACATTGGTCTTGGTGCTCGTGATAAAAATTAGTTTGCTAATGCTGAAAGAAAGCAAAATATTTTCGAAAAATTCATTTATTAGTATAAACAGAAAGTTGAAGTGAAAATGCAGACGATGCAAATATGATTATATGAAAGTTACAATACGTTTCAACATTGATCGCAGAGGCAGATAGACAACGTAAATATTTTGAGATTAGGATTTTCAGCAAAAATGGAAATAGTGGGATGCCATGAGTGAAGACACTGTTACGGATATAGAAAACAGTCTTCCAAATCTTTCCAGGTACAACATAGAAGAGACAAGAAGAAAGAACCGCAATATAAGAGGTAATGAATTCGGGTTTTACTTTTAAAACTAAATAATATTTTTTCGACAAGTGGTTAATTATTTGAAAGTACCACGTTCGAATTGTTCATGTATGTCCAAATATTTAAAAATTTCGGTTAAACATAGAATGGATGCGTTCCATTAATCTAAATTCTTTTGCAAGAATTAGTAAGCATTCGGTATGGCTATATTACGAGTATAACATTAATATTTAAATTATTTAAATTTTATAATATTTTGTACATGTACTTACCAATTATTACACCTAAAGTGACTCCAGATAATGTTACCAATAACATTAAATTTTCTTTAAGTGATTTACGTATTCCAGTTAATTCAACTGGTGCTTCACTACGTTCAGTTGTTTTTGGTGGTAATTCTGTACCATCGACAGTAGCACAACTTGGTGGCCCCATTTTTGCAAAAAGATAATCTGAAAACTTTTCAGATTTTTCCATTTTATTAAAAACAACAAAAAACAAAAATGTAAAATAAATTTTTAAATGATGGTTTGATGCTTTTTAGTTTTTATTTTTATTTTTTATGATTCTGTTGTTCTTTATTTTTTATTTATAGTTTTTTTATTTGATTTTTATGTTTGTTTTGTTTTTACAGTTATTGTAAGTTTCTCATTTACTTATGAGAAATGAAGTATACACAGAAATATTTAAAATGGAGCAGTAAAAATAAAAAAATCAGAAAATAATGAAAATGTTAGATGGTAGTTTTTCTTTTTACATTGTTATTGCACATCGTTTGTAAAAAAGTACATTTGTTCGCTTTTTAACTAATCAAATTTCAAGGTTTTCTTATTTTTTTTCTTCTAAATGGTTATTTTATTGTTTGAGTGCTTTTTTTTTTGCACAAAATGAGAGTAAATTTTTTTTTTGTTTTTTATAATTTTATGCTTAATTGTTAATGTTTTTAAAGTGTGTGTTTTTAAAGAAAATTTCTTTGTTAAAATGAATTCCTTTTGTTTTGTCCTTGTTTTAACTATTTCTATACATTTAAATTTTATTATGTTATTATGATTCTATTGTAGATGCCATTTAATTGGAGGATTACATTAAAACTTTAATTATTTTCGGTAATTTCCCTGAATTTAAGTAGGTTTTTTTTTATTTGTTTTTACAATAGGTTTTTGCTTTTAAATTTTTTAAATTAATTTCTAGTACGTAAAAGGTTTGCGTGTTTTAATTTTTCTATAGTTTTTTATTGAAATTTTTATATATAGTTTGAATTTTGATTAGAATTTTTAATCCTTTTATTTAGATTTTTAATTTTAATTTTGTGAATATTGTGAATTTGATTCGAATTGCATAAAATTTAAATTAAATTTGGTCTTTATATTTAGAACAGTTTTTTTTAGTTCATGTTTTACCATATTTCTTGTTAGTAATTTTTAATAACATTTTAAATATTTTATTTATTATTATTATTTCTGGGTATTTTAGGGTTATTTATTATGCATTTATTCTTAAATTATAAGCTATTTTATTTTTTTACTAATGAATTTTTTGATTATTACTACAATAAATTTCCATCTATTTAACAGGATTTTTTTTATATTATGTGGTTAAAAAAAAAAATAACTACTATTATTTTCATTTGTGTTGAGTTTTCGAGAATTTTTCTCCCCCCTCTCCCCGATATTTTATAAATTTTATTCCTTTTTTATAAGATTACAATGTTGCAATATTATTGCATATATTGAACATAAAGATGAAGTCATTGAACTAGTAATAAATATTTTCAGAAAAAAAAATAAAGGAAAAAAAAAAATAAAAATTTGAAATTTATTTGTTGTTGTAACAGGATGGCCAAATGAAATTTTTTTTTTTTCAAATTTTTTTTCTTTGAAAAAACCAAAAATGTTTGTTTGTTTTTTTTTTTAATTTTATATTTAGGAAAAAAATTCAATTTATAAGCTCGTATCGTAGTTGCCCAAATTTAATTAAGGGTTACCGATGCGGTAATGTTTTTTTATTTGATAAAAAACGACTTTTTGAATTTTTAAAGCCGTCTTTATGATGTTTTAATTTAAAAATGAACAAAATACGTATTGGCTCCGTTGTTGTAGCTTTTTTTATAAAATTTCCCAAATCTAGAAAATTTTTTTTTATTCTTTATTTAATTTTTAATTTTTTTTGTTGAGTAATGGGAAATTTTGTTTAAATGAACTTTATTTTAAATATTTGTTAGATTTATTTTTGTATTTTAAATTAATAATTAATTTTTTTAGTAAAATTGTTCCTGTTTAATTTGATTTTCTCAAACATTTAATTATTAAATTTTTTTTATTTTAAATATACGCAGTTCTTAAATTTTTTTTTGTATAATAATTTTTTAGGTTTGTCTCTGGTTCTTTTTTAAAAGTCTTAATAATTGTTAAGAAATACAATTAAGGGCAGTAACACAATTTCAATTAAAAATTTATTATTTATAACTTATTTGATAAATTTTGTTTTTTTTGTTTCAAAATTTTCTTTGTGAAATTTCCTGTGGTTTTTCTTTGTTGAACAATCTCAGAATATATAAATATACACTATTTCTGTGTATGTATATAATTTTTAAATTTTTACAATATCTAGTACATATATATATGTATATATATGGTTTTTTACGTATATTTCTATATAAACAGAATATTTTTCTCAGTGACTTGATATCTCTACTATCTGTATAATGATATATAGGTGGGGTAAAAATGATTCAGTTTTGATTTTTTTCTCGTTTTGTTGTTGTTCAATTATTATTACTTTTTTTCCCTGTGTATATTTTAAAGTACATTCAAATTATATATAGTATATATTAATAATAAAAATTTTTATATTTTCAATGATATCATTTAAAGTAAATATATATGTAGAAACCGTCACAATATCGTAGTTATATTATAATATTTATATAGCAGTTAATTAATATTATAGAATTGTAAAAAAAATTTTTTGATGAAAAATTCACCGGTCACCACCCCAAAAAAAAAAACCTTCAATTTTCTCTGTGATAAAAAGTATAGGAATTCAAATTTTCTACTCCTCTATACTATCCTCTTATAATTTTTCTTGTTTTTATTATTATAATTTTTATTTTTCTGAAAATTTTTCAATAATAATCTTTCAAATATTTTTATTACACTCGATTTTATTATATATTTCAAGTTTTTGTTAATAAATAATTTATTTATGAAATATTCAATTATTCTGAATTCTTTCTATATAGCACTGACTAAATCTCAAAAATCGATAAATTTTTTCCAACTATACAACACTTTATATATTTATTTGTTTTCTCTTTCTTTCATTCAATATTTTATATTTTATGTATACAAATTTTACCAGACGGTATATTATTATGTATGTATGAATTTTTTTTTTTTGTATATATTTTATGGAAAACCAAAAAATAAAATGAAAAGAAATCCTAGTAATCCTTTCGCAACAAGACTCCAAATACTAATGAGAGCTTTTTTAAATAACATGGAGCTTATATAACTAGGAACCGATTTGTATATCAAGGTATACATGCATACATACATACATTTTGGTATACATATAAATTTACTTATATTAATTATACTCACACAAATTTATTTTTTACAGGATTTTTCATTTTCTACTCTCTGTATTTTGTGCGTATTGAGAATGAATAAAACGTCATTAATAAATTTTTATATAAAATCCATTTTTTTTTTATATTTTTTTTGTAATTAATAAAAATTTTGAAATCAATTAAGTTGATTATAATATATAAAATGTTGTATAATTTCGAAATGATTTATATATAGCTATTGAGATAATTTAAGGTATAATTGGAGTATAAGAATTTTAATTTGAGAATTTATTAAAAATTATACATATATAATTATATAAGCAGTACAACTTCGAAAAATGTACCTTCAATTGTTATTATTAATGTAAATTTCTGAATTAAGACAACCAAACTGAAGAAATACCAGTGAATTAAGATTAAAACGAGAAAAAAAGTAGAGTTGACCTTGTCAACTCTGTGATACCCGTACGAATTTGTTATCCTATGTGCGAATAACTGATGTGCCATAACTAACTATGGGGCAGACTATGACTTTAAGTTGCCGTATTACCATATTAATTTATGCAAAATTTCAGTACTATGTGTTTTTCAAAATACTGGTTGTGCCAAACTACTATTGAATTTGTATGGCAGCTACCAGAAAGAGCCAAGAAATTTTAACGAATTTTATCAAGCACATCGGCCCTACTAATATATTCACTTGTGTGAAATCTCAATATCACAGCTTTTATAGTTTCTGAGATATAGCCAAATAACTTTTGAAGTTGTATGGCAGGTACCAGAAGGAGCCAAGTAATTTCAACGACTTTTATGAGACACATTGGTCCTATTAATATATTCGTTTGTGTGAAATTTCAATGCCATAGCTTTAATAGTTTCTGAGATATAGCCAAATAAATTTTGAAGTTGTATGGCAGGTACCAGAAGAAGCCAAGTAATTTGAACGACTTTTATGAGACACATTGGCCCTATTAATATATTCGTTTGTGTGAAATTTCAATACCACAACTTTTATAGTTTCTGAGACATAGCCAAATAAATTTTGAAGTTGTATGGCAGCTACCCGAACCGGTACCCCGATCACGTCCAATTTAAATAGGGTTCTGGCACTTACTACAATAAATCATTTGTGAAAATTTGGTGAACTTAGCTCAATTAGTTTTTGAGTTATCGTTCGGACGGACGGACGGACGGACGGACGGACGGACGGACAGACAAAGCTAATTCAACTCAGAATTTGACGCTGATCAAAAACATACACTTGAGTCTATATCTAACACCGTTATTTCTTAGCGTTACAAACGGTAAGGCAAATTTAGTATACCCTTCGTCCTTCGAACATACGTTCGTACGGGTATAAATATAATTAAGAAACGTTAATGCAGTATTGCTGAATAACAAATTTAATAAAAATTCTTTAAAAAATCATTGACATGGTAGAATAAGAAATACTTTACAATTTCATAAATTTTGGTAAATAAAATTAATAATTAAATGAAATAAATGTACAAAAACAAAAAAATAATAAATAAATTTAAATTCTAAATAAATAAAGAATTTTTCTATGAATTTTTATAGAATTATGAAGTTATAAAATTACAAATGTTTGTAATTAAAAATAAAGAAATGCAGCTATTTTTAAATTTTCAATTAAAGTTCACCCACATGTGTTTACAACCGTGGGTTTAAATTAAATTATGTCCACGGTCAAGGCTAATAAATTCTTCTAAAAAAAAATTTTTACAAATTAATCATAAATTTAATTATAATTTTTCAATAATAATGTATTAAATTTTATATTTAAAGAAAATTAAAGTGAAAACCATGTAATAAGAACTTCCAATGATTATTATGCATAATTATAGTATTTAATTTAAAACAATTATTT